ACATGAGCTCAGGGCGGCTAACAAGAGGCGAATCCCATACGTAACACTAAAACCAGATAAAACCATCAATTACATTTTACATTTAAAATCGGTGCTCACAACAATATATCTTCCAAGACGGGGACTCCGATACAGTGTTTCAGAGGATCTACTGTCTCTTCTTGATCGGTCTGCACTCTGTCCGTTCTCCAATTCCCAAGGCCAGTTCTTGAAGAGCTCCGTCTTGCAGGCCCTGTGGAACTGCATAAGGACCCGCAGGGCCCTGATCTCCTCCAGGAGCTCGTTCCACCAGATAGGAGCCGCTGCCGAGAAAGCCCTGGCCCTAGTCGCAGCATATTTGACATCTCTAGGGACTGGGACAGCCAGAAGATGTTTTGCCCCTGGCCGTAGTGCCCTTGGGGGAACATATGGGGAAAGGCGGTCCCTTAGGTAAGCTGGACCCTGGCCATATAGGGCTTTATAGGTAAGAACCAGCACTTTGAAGCGGACCCGGTACGCTATCGGCAGCCAGTGCAGCGCCTTCGGAACAGGCTGGACGTGGTCTCGCCTAGAGAGGCCCATCAACAGCCTGGCTTCTGCATTCTGCACCAGCTGCAGCTTCCGGATCTGCGACAGAGGCAGCCCCATGTAGAGAGCGTTGCAGTAGACCAACCTCGAGGTAGTCCTCCTTCCAACTCTCACTGCTGGCTACTTCATGGACGGGGGTGGGGGGGGGAGGAGGGAAAAGCAGATGTTGGCCACAAGGAATGGGAAAGGGTGCCAGCCAAGATGGAACCGTCGCGGTCCTCAACCAAAAATATATAAATGATATGTAAAAATACATGTATTTATCTGTAAAGGATTCAAAAACATATTAGGGGCCCAATCGCACCTCACGTAAAAATTAAAAACCATATATACGCAAAGGCGAATGGACTTGACCCGATGCGTTTCGGCCTGTTAGGGCGTCGTGGTTAAGTGCGCGTACTCTAATCTGGGAGAACCGGGTTTGATTCCCCACTCCTCCGCTTGCATCTGCTGGATGACCTTGGGCAAGCCGTAGTTCTCTCAGAGCTGTTCTTGAAAAAGAGCCGTTTCTGGCAGAGCTCTCTCAGCCCCACCTGCCTCACGAGCGGTTTCTGTCAGAGCTCTCTCAGCCCCACCTGCCTCCCAGGGTGTCTGTTGTGTGGAAAGGAGTTTGTAAGCCACTCTGAGACTCTGAGTGAAGGGCAGGGTATAAATCCAATCTCTTCTCTTCCTCTTCTACATACAGAGAGCCAGTTTGATGTAGTGGTCAGGAGCGTGGACTCTAATCTGGGAGAACCGGGTTTGATTCCCCACTACTCCACTTGCACCTGGCTGGATGACCTTGGGCAAGCCACAGTTCTGGCAGAGCTGTTCTTGAAAAAGAGCAGTTTCTGTCAGAGCTCTCTCATGGGGAGGGGAAGGGAAAGGTGTTTGTAAACTGCTCTGAGACTCCTTTGGGTAGTGAAGGGTGGGCTATAAATCCAATCTCTTCCTCTTCTACATACAGAGACCCAGTTTGGTGTAGTCGTTAGGAGCGCGGACTCTAATCTGGGAGAACCGGGTTTGATTCCCCACTCCTCCACTTGCACCTGCTGGATGACCTTGGGCAAGCCGTAGTTCTGATAAGAGCTGTCCTTGAAAAAGAGCAGTTTCTGTCAGAGCTCTCTCAGCCCCACCTGCCTCACAGGGTGTCTGTTGTGGGGAGGGGAAGGGAAAGGAGTTTGTGAGCTGCTC